TTAGAAGGTTGAGGTGAGGAGGAAGAGGATGACATTTTATCCATATGGTGGTGGCGTTGTCTCTTTCCTTCATTTTCGATTCTTTGGTGAAGGCGACTCCTTCTCACATGATAAAACATAGGAATGATGTTTCATATCATCTGAAGGTGCAGACACTAATTTAAAAAGCAAGAGTTTAGCTCAGCCACTGTATTCAACATGACAAGACAACATGGTGACTTCCACAAATAGGCAGCCGGTCCTTTGTGGTTTTAATACATTAATTCTACGTTTATGAGAATGCATCTGTTTGTTGGAGGATGTAATAATCTAATTGATGTATATTTATGATTACAACATTTTTTTCTATATTAAATAACCTCAAATATCAATGAACTGCACTTTGAATTTTTTATGACGGTCTGCATTCTAGTTACTTATAATGGGGGGAAAAAAAGATCATTTCGCCCTCACGTGACTTTTTTCTTTTGCACCATTGCTAGTGCTGGACTGCTTGCTCTTATTGCAGTATATGGATTTATTTTTCAACAGATGATGCTGCACAAAATGGAGAAAATGGTGCCGTCCGCTGAGGACGAAGAGAAGGAGATGGAGGGAGAGACAGATGAAGATGAGGAAGAAGAAACAGAAGAGGAAGAAGAAGGAAGTGAGAGGGAAGAAGATGAGGAAAAAGAGGAGCAGGAAAAGAATCCATTACCTGGTCATGATGAGGAGAAAAAGGAGGCAGATGTGCTGAACCTCAACAACGAGGTGGTGAAGATGAGGAAGGAGGTGAAGAGGGTCAGGGCATTGATCATAAGGAAGCTGACGCGTCAGATTGGCGCGCTGAAGAAGAAGAAGGGGAACGAGACCGAGATGGAGAGGAATCAGAGGAGAGCCGCGAGACTTCTGGAAGAGATCCACGACATGAAGAACCTCGTACCCGATCAGGTGGGCTTGTTGTCCTATCAGCAAATCATTTCTGCAATGACTTCCAAGCCATTTGATTCTTTATCTTTTCATTTTGAAATATTTTTTTCAACTTATCTACAGGTGACCAAGACCGCCTTACAGAAGAATCTCAGCTTTGAGCAGGTTTGCAAGAACCCCAAGTCTACCATATCTGACCGGGCCATCGCTCGCATCGCCACCCACCCTCAGTTCAGCAGGAAGATTGAGAACATCAAAGCAGCTGTGAAAGCCTTCAAAGAGGAGCGGACGAAGAGCGGGAAGCGAGGAGGAAAGGAAAAAGTGCAAAATCAAGGGAAGGCAGTGGAAGGAAAGGTGACTCTGCAGTTACAAGAGAAAAAGGAGGGAAAAGAGGAGCTTAGGGAAAACAGCGAGGAGGAACATCTTAAAGAGAGTGAAGATGGAGCTGTTGCCGAAGTCGGAGAAAAAACGGAGAAAGGTGGAACTTCTGATGTTCACGCACAAAAAAAGACAGAGCCTAAGAGTGTTAGAGCAGCACCAGGAAAAACTAGTGACATAAAGGAGATTGTGAAAAATAAATCTCCAGTTAAAAAAGAGAAACCCATTATCCAGGCTGAGGCAGCTGAGGAAGAGAGCGATTTAGAGTCATCCGGTGATGAAGAGAAAGAGTACTTTGATGACAGCACGGAGGAACGGTTCCACAAGCAGTCATCGCAGTCGGAGGAGAGCGATGATGATGACGGCTTCTTTGTAGGAAAAGTGAGCAAATTCAAGAAGAAAAAGAAAAAGCCAAAAAACGAAAGTATGGAGGAGGTGGCGGCGGATAAGAGAGCTGAGGCAGGAAAGGACTCTGCTGAGAACGTGAAGTCTTCGGACAAGCTCGAGAATCAACTCGATGAGCTTGAATCTAGGCTGAAATCAAAAGCGACCAAGCTGGAGTCTCTCTTCTGTCCTTCTCTGGCAGGTGGGGGTAGAGGTGCTGGCAGAGGGAAAGGTGGAGATAAATTTAGGAAACACAATAAAGATTTCAATAAACAGCCCAAGTTCCAGAAGCCGGACAAAAGTTCAGGGTCTAAGTACAGCAAGCCCTGCCCCGATGGCAAACACCCCGAGTCTGAGGATAAGGGCTTTGCTACCGCTAGCAGAGGAAGGGGACAAGGCAGAGGCGATGTTCTGAGACAAAAAGATCACAGGGGTGGAGGTGTCTTCTCACATCGGGCACCACAGCAGGCACTGCATCCATCCTGGGAGGCCAGTAAGAGAAGGAAGGAGCAGCAAGGACAAATCCTGGCCTTCCAGGGGAAGAAGATCAAGTTTGGTGATGATGATGATGACTGAAAGTTGTTGGCTGTTTGTGTAAAGTTTAAAGTTCAGGGATGATGTGTTGGAAGGTTTAAACTCTAAGATGCAACCTGTTCTGTGATAGCTTTGTCAATGGGCAGCAGTTTAAGCAGCGCATTCATTCTATGGCTGCACTATAGTAACGGGACAAATTTGAATGTAGGACACTGGGAAGCTGTTTTTTGTGTATTTGAACGTGTGCACAGTTCAGGTTTTCTGTCCTTGTAATTCCAGCGATGGTTTTGTGATGATGTTATCCACTTTTTTTTAAGTCCTTCATTATTAGACATGTTTTAATAATACAGTTGTAATCTTGACACAAGCATATTGTGCCATTTTTTTGCTGTAAAGTTTTTATCTACAATATTGTGTAAATGTCTTGAGCCACCACTCGTTTCAGTACATTTTCCTTCCAAAGAGACAGACTTGTAGTTTTTTTTTTAATGTAGTTTTGACCAGTAGTTTATTTTTGTACATTGGCTTCTTCTTCACCCATTTTCAGTCCAGTCCTTGTACCTGACCATTTTATAGAGGAATCTATTTTTTCTCTTGCTCTTTTGTTAAGCTGCTTAACACTGATTTATGACTCATTCAAGCATAAAAAAGACACCTAACTCAGTGTTCTGCCTACACAACTGACATCTGAGTAAAGAACCAATTTTAAATTGTACCTTTATGCAATTTGTTGATTGCAGCCTGTCATAAAAATATATCATTTGTTCCCATTCCGTTTATCAAACCTTCAAAAATTGCCAAAGGTAACATAATTTGAGATTCAATTCAATTTTTTATATAGCGCCAAATCACAACAACAGTCGCATCGAGGCGCTTTATATTGTAGGGTAGACCATACAAAATAGATACAATAATAATACACGAATAAAGTAGAATTGTTGGTATTTTTGCACCAACAAGGTGATTCTCAAAGCGCTATTAGCGGAAAACCTGGCATATCTCAGCGAGTATGGAGTTGCAAATTAAATTGTCATCAGTGTGTAGAGAGGAGGCATGGTATTTTTATGGTGACAATACTCCCAACCACACTTCCAATGAAGTAAAAGCAAACCTGGATAAAAACAACAAAACCCTCACATGCCAATGTGGGTGGCCACCGGACCAGCTACGGGGCTGCCGCTGGAGGCGCGGGCGACCACCACAGTGGACACTTCCCTGTCCGGGCCGATTCCCTCGCCTGCTCAGCGGACTGGGGAGTAGGTTCGGCCGGATGGCTCCCCGGCCTCAGGCGGGCGATGGGGATGCCGCTGCAGGTGAGATGGACTCATCTACAGTCATACCTCGCCAGATTAAAAAATGTACTCTTCTTGTGTTGTTGATGATGTGTACAGCTGGCAGCGGGAGAGCTGCAGCCGTTGAATGTGCTGTTACAGCAGCCGTGTGATTATTGTAAGAATAAAAGATGCTGCGAAGCATGAAAATACCATCGGGTCTGCCGTGGTGGTTTGGTTATCAAGTTTTTTTTTTAAAGATTTTTCTTTAAAAAATGAACGAGAACCAGTAAACAAGTTAAAACAAGTACTGTTGTGAAAATATAATATAACTGGTGAAAATGTGTAAACAACTTAACCCCCAAAGCGTCTAAATCGCGTCACGTGACAGCACAACACCTAAACATAAGAGGGGGGAGGAGAAGCAAAGTGCGCCTGCTCTGCGCTGACACAGGAGCGAGTCCGGCGACCTGGCTGTTTCATCTTTGCCGAAAGCACAGCACTGCAAACAAGAGCAAAACTTAAAGTAAAGAATCGATCTCACCAGGCTAGTATCGATCCGATGCCTACTTGGTATCGATACAGTCGATATTTGGATCGATCCGCCCACCACTAGCGTGCATAGCCGATATCCTGTCTCGTGAGAATCTGGTTTAAAAGGATACCGGAAAAACTGTTTACAGCTTGAATTTAAAACATTTTAAAACCCCGTCAGGATGCTCAGTAGAAATCATGATAAGGGTGACTGTTTCTGCTTGACGGTAGAAGAAAAGCTGGTTTCTTGTTCTCGGAGAGCCTAACAGGAGTGTACAGAGGCTGTGTGGACCCTAATAGGTCGGGGCCCTTTGTGTGGGAATCGCTGTGAAAGTGGAGTTCTTGGAGGTAGGCAGCACCAAACCCCAGAGACCAGAGGAAAGTGAAGCTCGAAAAGGCCCGAAGGCTTATATTTGTTACGGCCGTTTATAATTGAGAAACGAAGTGCGGTTTGACAGCTGATGTGGGCACGTCTATATAACGGAGACTATTTTACGCAAGCGGTGAGAGACTTAAATACTTTGTGGTTTATCAGTTAAGGTTATTATCGGTCATCTGCGTGCTGGTTAGCCAGGAAGTACCTTTTCAGAATAAAGGCTTGTCCAAAAAAGTATTTAGTTTTAAAGTTGCATAGGTGTCCTTGCTGTATAAAAATCAGAGTATAACGTCTAAAATAATCAACAGTAGTAAAAAAATAACTGTAGATGGTAAGATTTGGTGTAAAATGTAATGTTTTTTGTTTAGTTTCTGCTGTTTTTATTATTATTTATTTATTTATTTTTCTGATTTTCTTCAAACTGGTTAAAAAACACGACACAATACAGAATTTAAACAGTTTGCATTAATAGTTAATATAAGCTATAATGGATCACTTCATACTTTAGGTTTAAAGGCTTTTTCATAACGATGTCATGTTTTAATTGAAGAAGTTCAACTTTTAAACCCGTGTGAGTATGATTTTATTTAGAAGGGTGGACTGTGACCGTTCGCGAACTTTTGCGTATTTCCGGTAGATTTACGCTTGTTTTTTCCCTTCGCGCATGGTCGGGGACTTGTGTAAATGTCGGACTTCGGGTGCCGTGTAATCTGACTGCACACTTCAGCCGTCGAGTTTGTGTGAGGAAACATTGGTAAGGAGCCCGGTAGCGGGGTGCTGTTTATCATTGCTGCAAAACAACTGCCGCATGCTCAGCATGGGAGGGGGATGGGGAGTGTTCCTACTGTTAGCTTACACACACACACTGATGAGGGAAGCTAGCTTCTGCCCCAGTTGCGAAGTAATAAGTGACAGCTTGAAATAACTAAAGCAATTAGTCCGTGAAGGCAACACGGGTTTACTAGTTTATGCAGAGACGTGCTCACATCTTACAATTACATAGTTCTCAAGTAAAGGCAGTGGGCTAGTGACAAGTTTATATTACTGCAAAAATTGCAGCCCTGTGACAAATTAGGGGGAAACACATCACAAGTTGCATGATATTGCAATATCAAGCAGTAACTTCTAACAAGTTGTCTTAAATATTTTCAGGCAAAGGAATAAAGCTGGAACTGGAAGACGGTGACCCGCCCCAGACCTCCAGGATGGAGGCAGTGCTGCCAGAGGTCCATCTGACAAACACCGGAGAAACCAGTAAGGCTGTGTGATGTAATAACTTGTGCTCTGGATTATCAGATGGAAAAACATGCCCGTTCCAAGGAAGAAATGGATAAAACCTCTCGGACGCAGCTTTACAGTTTACAGGAGAGCATAGTTAATGGGTGATATTTTGTTCCAATGGCGTGTGTAGCAAAAACTTAAATTAATAAGTTAATGGTGTCAAATGCTTTGATATGCTTCTCCTTCAAAAAATGGACTAACTGGGCCACACGGCTTAATCACTCAGTTGAGGTGTTGATTTAATCCCACGGTCACAGGTGTATAAAATCCAGCACTCAGTCATGCAGTCTGCCTTTGCAAACATTTGTGAAAGACTGGGTTATTCTCAAGAGCTTGGTACTATAATAGGACTGCACAGAAAGTCTGTTCATGAACTTGGTCCTCTCCTAAATATTCCAAGATCGGCTGTAAGTGGTTTTATTGCAAGCAGAAGTATTTAGTAACTCAGCCTTGAAGTGTCAGAGCATGCACTCTTGCAGAGCAGGATGACAGAGTGCTAAAGTACACAATGTGAAAAAGTCATTGCCAAGCTAGGCTGACTAAGTAACTGCAGAGTTTCAAAGGTCCTCTGGCATTAACATCAGGACAAAAAGTGTGCATCAGGAGCTTTGTGGTTCTCCTGTGGTTGGTGTTATGAGGCTTGCATCGGACAGAGTGGTGTAAAGTATTCACTGGACTCTAGGACTGCAACAGCAAGTCAGACTTTCTAATTCCAACATCAGCATTTGACCTCATAAGTGCTCTGCTGGATCAGCGGGGCATAAAGTCCCACACACACTCAATCTTGTAGCAAGTCTTCCCAGAACAGTAGAAGCTGCTATAGATGCAAAGGGTCACCAGATTCATCTTAAAGCCTACGGATTTAGAATGAGATCCTGTAGGTCTAGTGGACAAGAAAGGACTGGAAGGTTTTTGGTCATATTACCTGTTAGACAGTTGTGTCAGCGGTGTACTGCAGAACTGTGCTGGTAAAAAACTTAAACTCAAAATTGGTGTCATCTTCATCCTTGAATGAGTCAGTGACAGATACAGTTTGGGGGACTTGATGATTATCACAAGGATTAACATTTTGAAGTTTTTGGGTCATGAATGGCAGCCTTACTCACTAACTGAGCAGTCAGACGCTGCCCATCTTTGAACTCCGCCTTAACTGTAATCTCAGCTACATGCATGTAAAACTATCTTGTTGAGAGAAAGTTCTGACAGACCATCACATACACAAGCACCAGCCAACCTTATTCCTGCTGTAGCTGTTGCCTCCAGGGCAACTATAACCTAACCAGATACTATAACCTAATAGAAAATCCTGAAAGTCATGGCAAACCGTACAGAGTTGATCTGAGTAGGTAGTCAAGGAAAAGGGGGGTTAAGAGATACTCCTAAGGTGCAGCCATTACCAGCAAGAAAACATCTCAGTCTCCACCTGTCCGTTTATCCTCCAGGTCTCGGTTCCCTAATGTGCAAGCGGGAGAGGTCACGCTTCGATACGTCGCTGGGTATCTTGACCCGGAAGTTTGCAGAACTCCTGAGGTGCTCCACCGATGGGGTTTTGGATTTAAACGTAGTGTGTCGGGAACTTGGCGCCTCTAAGAGGCGCATCTATGATATCACAAACGTCCTTGAAGGGATCCAGCTCATCAAAAAGAAGTCTAAAAACCACATCCAGTGGTGGTAAGTATAAACTGGGCCAGTAAGTAACAAACAGACCCATTTTATGCATAAATGTATACAGTGGCTTGCAAAAGTATTCGGCCCCCTTGAACTTTCCCACATTTTGTCACATTATAGTCACAAACATGAATCAATTTTATTGGAATTCCACGTGAAAGACCAATAAAAAGTGGTGTACACGTGAGAAGTGGAACGAAAATCATACATGATTCCAAACATTTTTTTACAAATAAACAACTGCAAAGTGGGGTGTGCGTAATTATTCAGCCCCCTTTGGTCTGAGTGCAGTAAGTTGCCCATAGACATTGCCTGATGAGTGCTAATGACTAAATAGAGGGCACCTGTGTGTAATCTAATGTCAGTACAAATACAGCTGCTCTGTGACAGCCTCAGTGGTTGATCAGAAATGCAGCCAAGAGGCTCATGGTGACTCTGGACGAGCTGCAGAGATCTACAGCTCAGGTGGGGGAATCTGTCCATAGGACAATTACTAGTTGTGCACTGCACAAAGTTGGCCTTTATGGAAGAGTGGCAAGAAGAAAGCCATTGTTAACAGAAAATCATAAAAAGTCCCATTTGCAGTTTGCCACGAGCCATGTGGGGGACACAGCAAACATGTGGAAGAAGGTGCTCTGGTCAGATGAGACCAAAATGGAACTTTTTGGCCAAAATGCAAAACGCTATATGTGGCGGAAAACTAACACTGCACATCACTCTGAACACACCATCCCCACTGTCAAATATGGTGGTGGCAGCATCATGCTCTGGGGTGATTCTCTTCAGCAGGGACAGGGAAGCTGGTCAGAGTTGATGGGAA